ACACCAACATCATCAGCATCAGCATCATCTGCATCATAATCATCATCCTCATCATCATCATCATCAGCATCATCATCATCATCATCATCATCAGCATCAGCATCAGCATCAGCATCAGCATCATCATCATCATCAGCATCATCATCATCATCATCATCATCATCATCATCATCATCATCATCATTATCATCATCATCATCATCATCCTCATCATCCTAATCCTCATCCTCATCATCATCATCATCAGCATCTTCATCAGCCGCAACAGCACGAGGAGGAGGAGAAGAGGAGGAGAGGAAATAAGAGGCGTCTGAATAATGATTCACTGCGTGGAACTCCCCAAATGTGCATCTATTTGCATGGACGTCTCCGCCGGAAATGTCTAGGTGTTGATATAAACCGGCTTGATGTATGATCGGGGGTTCGTATGGATGAGTGCGACTGTCAGTTAAAGTAGGTATGAGAGAGTCTGGATACGAGTGGGTCTGAGAATGCGTAGGTAAGAGTATGAGCGAGTCTGAGTGAGAGTGGTCTGAGTGTGGGTGAGTCTCGGTGTGAGTGAGCCTGAGTGTGTGTCTAATGAGTACGAGTCTGAGTCTGAATGGGTGTGAGTACGAGTGAGTCTGACTACGAGTGAATGGGTGGGTCTGAGTGTGAGTGATTCTGGGTGCGTGCAAGCCTAAATGTGAGTGAGTCTGAGTATGAGTATGATGAGTATGAGTCTGAGTCTGAGTGGGTCTGAATACGAGTGAGTCTGACTACGAGTGAGTCTAAGGGTTGGTGGCTCTAAGTGTGAGTGAGTCTGAGTGTGCGTAGATCTGAGTGTGAGTGTCCTCCTCCTCCCCTTCCCCCATCATCATCACGATTATCATCATCATCATCATCATCATCATCATCATCATCAGCATCATCATCATCATCATCAGCTTCAACATCAGCATCATCATCAGCATCAGCATCATCATCTTATTCTCTGCTTCAGTCGTGATGCACTCCACTTCTGTGCGATGCGTTAAAATTGTGCTCCCCATTCGAATATCCGTGCACACGCAATCAATTTGTAGCGTTCTCCTTAAATGTCCTGAAGAGTTGCCAACCGCGCACTCTTCTTGCCCACGCGTCCTTCCGGATGCTCGGCTTTGTGGTGGAGGAGGTAAGGATGCAAGGGTATTGGAAAGCCATGTTGACGTTTTTCGAACGAAGTTGACCAGCGAAAGTCGCCAAGGATGGGCCAGAGGGGCCAGGATACAAGGGCAGCCTTGGAAAGTCGCTCATCCCTACTGTGCGGGCTGACTGTAGATGGAAGAGTCTTCAAACGGGGGCACGACAGCTTCCAGCGCTGTCGTCACGCCACCTGGCAAGGCTGGAAGAACAAAAAACGGGCCAAACATGAACTTTTAGAGGTCCGCGCGGATTTCTCGGATGCGCGCTATGCCCCCATCCCTGGCGCGCGGAGCGCGCCAGGGGGCGGCGCCCGAGGCGCCGCCAGCGGGCCCCAGCGCGGATCCGAGAAATCCACGCAGAGCTCCGAAAGTTCACAGTCGGGCTGCTGAAAGAAGGAACGCTAAACAAGGAACGAAACCGCTTCTTGACCCTGTAATGCCTACCTACCAGACCACCCCAACCCAACCCGCAGACCCGAATTTCGGGCTGGGGGGGGTATGGCCTCCATATGTTTTTTTTCTATGTTCCCGGACCCCCCCCCACTAGAAATCGAGGGTAAATCTGACCCTTCGGGTTGGGTTGGGGTGGTTTGGTGGGTGGTGATGCAAGCGCCTACGTGCCCCAGGAGGGCAAGGGGAACAGTACTGGAGGAACCTAAGGAACGTCGAACCCCTGCCGAGCCCAAACTGCTCCTTCTTTCAGCGTCCTGACTTCATGTCGAGCTCCGACGGCTTCCTGCGCTTCCGTCGCGCCACCCTAACAAACGAGCAACACACACCCATACCCATAGGGGGGTCGTTGGGAGGAGGACTAGCTATGGGTATGGGTGCGGGTTGTCGGACCCTGGGGAACGCTCCCGTTCGAGCGGGGACCCCCAACCGACAACACGCACCCATAGTCCTCTCCGATCCCCCATATGGGTATGGGTGCGTGTTGTTGGTTCGTCATTCATGTCGAGCTCCGACATCGAGCGTCCCTAGGGGGCCACGTGCGAACCCTACCCCTACCCACCTCAGAAATCGCGGGGGGTAGGGGTAGGGCTCGCACGTGGCCCCCTAGTCTCGAAAAAATCGAGACGGAGATGCTTCACAGTCTTCGGCCTCACGGGGCCCCTGCCGGGCCTCGGGACCGTCAAGAAACGACTCGGGATGAAAAAACTGGTTCCGGGGATGTGGTCGAGAGGTCGGGGGCCCGCGTCACGAAAAAATCGAGACGCAAGGCATCTGGGGCTGCGCCGCTTCCCTAGGAGACGAAGGGCGCAGCGTCGCAAGGGGGTTGCACTCGAAGGCGCGTGGCCCCAAACAGGCCGCCGGGCGCCAACGGCAGCCACCCCCATGTCCAATGATTCGCATCAGAAGCTGCAGAGCGATGTACGAGAAAGTATTTCTGACCTTTTGCGTGATGAGTGAACCCCGTCCTCGGTGACAGCGATAAGAAGGAAGTCTCGCGCGCAGTCGTCTCGCCGCCTTCATCGTCGCCATCACCTTCCCCCTCCCCCTCCTCTCCTCTCTCCCCCCTCAAGTGTTTATGTGCACGCGAACACATGTCTTAACTTTGGGTCAATGGGCAGCCCTTTCGAGCTCCCGACCTTGGACATCCGACGTTATGAACTTAGGTGGCGTGGGCCCTCCAGACCTCTCGACCCCATCCCAGGGACAATTTGTCATCCGGGGCCGTTTCGTGATGACAAGAAACCAGAGGCCTCCAGGAGGCCCCCCGTCCAAAAGCCAAGAGGCCGCCAGGAGGCCTCATGAGAGGACTCCCCCAGGAGGCCCCAAGAGGCCTCTGAGAAGCATCTGGCGCACGATCGCGCGGCAGCGGGATGAAAAAGCCTGGGCGGCGCCCTGATCGGACGGCGCTTGCCTCCCGCAGCGCTGGACACCAAGCCCGCGAAGTGCGAGGGGCGTCGGAGCCGGCAGATCTGTACGGCGTGCAGCGGCTGCGCGGCGCGGGCAGAAGACCGGCGGGAACGGAGTCCCCTTGGAGTGGGCGACAGGGGTCAGCCCCCTCATCCCTCCCAGCCTCCCTCTCTCCCTCCATGCCTTCCTCCTCACCCCCCCCCTCCCTCCCTTCTTTGCCCTTTCGTCTCGCACCTATTTCTCCGCATCCTCCCTCCTCTGCTGCTCCCTCCTCCTCCCCCTCCCCCCACCGCCTCCCGCCTCCTCCTCCTCCCTCCTCTCCTCCTCCTCCTCCTCCTCCTCCTCCTCCTCCTCCTCCTCCTCCTCCTCCTCTCCTCTCCTCCTCCTCCTCCTCCTCCTCCTCCTCCCTCCTCCTCCTCCTCTCCTCCTCCTCCTCCTCCTCCTCCTCCTCTCCCTCCTCCTCTCCTCCTCCTCCTCCTCTCCTCCTCCTCCTCCTCCTCCTCCTCCTCCTCCTCCTCCTCCTCCTCCTCCTCATCTCATCATCATCATCATCATCATCATCATCATCATCATCAGCATCATCATCATCATCATCATCATCATCATCATCATCATCATCATCATCAGCAGCAGCAGCAGCAGCAGCAGCAGAAGCATCATCATCATAAGCATCATCAGCAGCATTATCAGCAGCATAACCAGCATCAGCATCATCAACATCATCGTCAGCATCTTCATCAGCATCATCATCAGCATCCGCATCAGCATCACCATATCATCATCATCATCATCATCATCATCATCATCATCATCATCATCATCATCATCATCATCATCATCAGCATCATCGTCAGCAGCAGCAGCATCGTCATCATCATCAGCAGCAGCATCATAAGCATCAGCATCAACATCATCATCATCAGCATCATCAGCAGCATCAGCATCAGCAGCATCATCAGCATCATCAGCATCATCAGCATCAGCATCAGCATCATCAGATCATCATCCTCATCATCATCATCATCACCATCATCATTCATCATCAGCATCAGCATCAGCATCAGCATCATCATCAGCAGCTTCTTCATCATCATCATCATCATCATCATCATCATCATCATCATCATCAGCATGGTCATCATCATCACCACCACAATCATCATCAGCAGCAGCAGCATCGTCATCATCATCAGCAGTAACATCATCCGCATCAGCATCATCAGCGTCATCATCATCGTCATAAGCATCATCATCATCAGCATCATCATCATCATCATCATCGTCATAAGCATCATCACCATCATCATCGTCATCGTCGTCATCATCAGCATTATCATCATCATCATCATCATCATCATCATCATCACCATCACCATCATCATCATCATCACCACCACAACCACCATCACCATCATCATCATCATCATCAGCAGCATCATCATCAGCGCATCATCATCAGCATCATCAGCATCCGCATCAGCATCATCATCATCATCATCATCATCATCATCATCATCATCGTCAGCATCATCATCATCATCATCATCATCATCATCATCATCATCATCATCATCATCGTCACCATCGTCATCATCGGCAGCATCATCAACATCCTCATCGGCAGCATCAGCATCATCAGAAGCATCACCATCATCAGCAGCAGCATCATCATGAAGCAGCATCATCATCACCACCAGCATCTGCATCATCAGCAGCATCACCAGCATCTGCATCATCAGCAGCATCACCATTATCATCATCATCATCATCATCATCATCATCATCATCATCATCATCATCAGCACCATCATCAGCATCATCAGCAGCATCATCATCACCATGACCACCACCATCATCCTCAGCAGCATCAGCATTACCATCGTCATCGTCATCATCATCAGCATCATCAGCATCATCGTCACCATCATCAGTATCATCCTAATCCTCATCCGCATCCTCATGCTCATCGGCATCCTCATCCTCATCGTCCTCATCATCATCCTCCTCCTCCTCCTCTTCCTCCTCCTCCTTCTCGGGAACCCCTCCTCCTGCACAACGTCTACTGCCGAGCCGGCCAGAGCGCGCAGTGCAGCGTCCGCACGCTCCGCGGCAGAGTCCAGGGCGACGCTGGCGGCACGGGGGTCAAGTGCTGGGCCCCCTCCGACCGCGCCGCCCCGATGGCGAGGGGCGGCCCCCTGGGGCTCGGACCGCTGCGGCGCCGAGCGCGCTCGGGGCCTCGGGGCCGACAGCGCGCCGCTGGCCCGCGCGCAGCATTGCGCTGGGCGCGGCCCGCCGCCGCGGGCGCCAGCCTGGATGCCTGCGCTGACTGGAGGCTCCCCAAATGGGGTCCGAACTGATGGCGTCGGAGCATCGCGCCGCATCGGCGATGCATCGCCGATGCGTGGGCGACATCGGCGCCGCCGGCGTGGAGGAACTCTGGTTCCGCATCGAGCCGCATCGGCGACGCATCGACGAGGCGGCGCGATCCTCAGACCACGTCAGCTCGAAACACATGTGTCGGCGAATCCGACGGGTGCGGTTTGCAATCTGCACCCTGTGGGGAGCTTTCCGCCGCGCCCCGAAGCGGCCCAACGAAGGCAACGTGGTGTCCCCAAGCCCCAACAGACGCAAATAGCGAACCACACCCCAGCGTAAGTACACCTATTGTGATCGCCGAGTGTAGGAGGCCTAGACTAGGCGGCGCGCTCGGGGGGAAATGAAAAGGGGCGGGCCTTTTCCGAAGGCTCGGAAAACCCCCCGGCTTTCTGAGAAATCCGCCGGCCCCCTTGTGGCCAGGTGCAGGTCCCAGTTCCCATTATGTGAAAAATTCAATTTTCGTTTCCTACTGTACTGGTTGGCCCAGTAGCGTTAAAGCCATCCACGCTTTCGGCATACTCAAAGCATTTGTCGGTTGCCTGCTTGGCTCCCAGCTGCGCAACAGGCAACAACCAAACTTTTGGAGGCTCCCAAGAGGCCTCCAAAAGGCTACTGGGAATCTTCGCGGAGGCCTCCCAAGTGGCCTCCCAAGAAGTTGTCAAGAAGTTTCCTCCTCCGACTTTTCCTCACCTTCGTCCTCCTCCTCCTCCTCCTGTTCCTCTTCCTCCTCCTCCTCCTCCTCTTCTTCCTCCTCATCCTCCTCCTCTTCCTCCTCCTTCTGTTCCTCCTCCTCCTCCTCCTCCGCCTCCTCCTCATCATCATCATCATCCTCCTCCTTTTCCTCCTCCTGATCTACCCCGCCATCCTCCCCCAGCATGTCTCATGGAAAAAAGGTATCAAAAAAAGATCGCGCACCCCACACACACACACACACACACACACACACACACACACACACACACACACAACCCGCACAACCCCTCCAGGATAAGAAATGCAAGGACCTCCTACGCGAGAACCCTGGGCAGCATCAGAACATCGATGACGTATCGAACGGCAGTTGTGGGCAAGACAAGGAAGTCGAGGGGCCCCCGTTCGGGAGCCCATTTGGCCTGAGACATTCTCGCAACTCTGCGCTCGCAAATGCCCTGACCTGACGTTTTCCGACCCGACCCGCGCGAGAGATTCTCTGGAAATTCTCGCCTAAGACATTCTCGCACCTCTGAGCTTTTCCAGACGATTCTGTCTGCGACGTCCTCGAAACGCTGCGCTCGAATATGCCCTGACGCGTGGTGGTGTGGCCAATTCCGCCTGAGACATCCTCGCAGCCCTGGGCTCACAGATGCCGCGACCTGAGGTGGTCCAGCGAGTTTCGCCTGAAACATCCTCGCAGTTCGGGTCTCACGGATGCCCTTGTCTTGACGGTTTCGCGTGAAAGATCCTCGACATCGATTGGCTAAAAGATGCCCTGGTGTGAGGTGGTCAGGTACGCTTCGTCTGAGACATCCTCGCAACTGTGGGTTCGGATGTGTCCTGACATGGGGTCGGCTGGCCAACTTCGCCTTGAACATTCTCGCGACTCTGAGCTCGGATGCGCACTGACCTGGTGCAGTCGGGCCCGTATCGCTTGAAACATCCTCGCAATTCTGAGATCAGATACTGCAGGTCCGTGCCGTGTCGACCCTGGCGTTGGTTCCTGACACCGCGCTGGATCGTTCAACCTTGAACGATCGGCCGTCACCGCAACGTCCGATCGTTCAACATCGATCGATTCTGGGCCGCCGCCGGCGTTCAACGTTGAATGTCGGCGGCGGGGTCGCCGCCGGTCGACACGACGCGAACCTACCGTACGCACTGAGCTGAGGTGGCCCGGGCAACGCACCAAACGCAGCTCCGCGCACACGTCTGCTCCCCGACACCACGGGGCACGGAGCACGGGCGCCCCTGCCCCACGGGAGGCCTCCTGGACTGGGTCCGAGTGGACGGGGTCGGAAAACCGCGCCGCATCGCCGATGCATCGGAGACGCGGCTCGATGTGGAGCCCGACCTTCCCCACGCCGACGCCGCCGATGCATCGCAAACGTCGCCAATGCATCGCCGA